TTTTTTTTTTTTTTTTTTTTTTTTTTTTTTTTTTTTTTTTTTAAGTTTAGGATTAGTCTCATAAAAAACCTTATAGTTTGTGTTTTTTCCGGATTAAACCTCAAATTTATTTTTTGCCTGAAAAAGACCATGTATTTTTTCATTTTTTTCCAATCTGGCCCTTTAAGTCATTTTTTTCCAAAAAAATTGTAAAATGCGAGGGTTTTTTTGAGAAAAACTTAAAAAGTTGAGGGTTTATTTGGAAGCATATAGAAGGTTGAGGGTCTTTTTTGGTAAAAAAATACAAAGTTGAGGGCTTTTTCAGAAAAAATAAAAAAAATACAAGTCCTTTTTCATTGAAAAAATAAATTTGAGGTATAATCCGGAAAAAACACAAAATATAAGATCTTTTACGAGATTAACCATTTTATTTATTTTTACAATTTCCTCTTTTTAATAATCGGAGTTTTTCCATAAACTTTGGCAGGATGACAATGGGGATCTTTCATCGGTTAATATGGACACTGCAATAGCAATTCGTACGCTTGAAGAAACCTACAGATTGTCTGCTGACGTGGCAGCAGTTGAGACAATGATACTAAGGCTAACCGAAAGGGTATACAATAACTAATAATTATATTTCATTTTTCATTTTTCCTTTTTTTAAAATAATTATTTTAGGTGTGTTAGCATGTATGATTATGAATCTTAACTAAAGTTATGACAATAGGAAGGCCCGTTGCTCAAAAGCAAGGGTAAGGCAAGCAGTGTGGCAAGAATTGCAGTATTGACTTGGAGATCATTTTTGATTATGTCAAGGGAGTGGAAATATTATTGGCTTCGGTTAATTCTTTGCATGATGCTTTCGCTATGTATTGGCACTATGTTTTCGGGATTAGGTCATTCGCTATTGTCCGTTGAGGTATGTTTTATAAAATTTGTGTTGGGGTTTATGTTTTTTTTTTGTTTTTATAAAATATGTAAATCCCAAAAAAAAATTATATGATACCAAATAGGTTAATAAAATAGAGTGTTAGCATAACTATAGAGTGTTTTAGGAATTATATGTTAAAACGAGGGAAATTGAGTAATCTAACTGTAATGTAATGTGTATTCAAAGAAAATAACCAAAAAAATTTGTTTTTGGCAAAAATAAATACCATGTTCGGAAACAAAAATTACTTTTTCTGACAAAAAAAATCATTTCGGACCGACATTTCGGATTCCGGATTGAAATTTCGGAGTTCGAAAAAGTAACTCTAGAATTTCAAGAACAAATCCGAAATCAGATGAACAGTTTTAAAATTTTGAGAAAAAAGTTCGTTTTTATTAAAGCTAACAAAAAGTTGAACAAAAATAGTAAATAGGAAATATATAGAATATTATGGCTTAAAATCAAAATTTGTTTGAAAAATGGTGATGTTAATTATGAAACACTTCGAAATAGAAATTTCGGATACAAGTGGAGAAATTTCTTTGAAAAACAATTGCAAAAAAAAAAAGAACTCCGGAAGAATAGTCCGGAATGGGGGCATACGGGAAAAACCGAAAAGTTGGTAATTTTTCAAAAACTAAAAAACAAAAGTGGTTATTTTCTTTGAAAAACTTATTTATAATGGTTAGTTTACTTAATTTCCCTTAAAACAATCTTACTATTTTTATGTATATAGCCCTATGGTTCGTATGACTTTGTAGTAATGTCAATGTAGTAATGTCAATGTGTTATGTCGCATGCACATAATCCAACACTTTGAATTTACACTTTTGACTAATCATTTATTCTTTTCTAATTAACCAAATCATGTCGCAAGTGAAAAAAATGAAAAAATAATTTCTTTTGATGGTTTGCAGATGAGAGTTGCTGCGATCTTTATGTTTATATCTTTTACGTCGCTTTTAAGTATTGTTGGAGTACCTATGCAATTAAAGGAGGTGAAGGTGTATGCTTGTGAAGATTCAAATGGACATTCGGGAGGATTTGTTTTCTTAATGGGTCAATTCATGGCTAGCATTCCCTTCATGTTTCTCATCTCAATTTCATCAAGTCTAGTCTTCTACTTCCTCGTTGAGCTTCGAAGCGAGTTTAGCCATTTGATGTATTTTGTGCTCAACTTTTTCATGTGTCTTTTGGTTAACGAAGGCCTCATGTTGGTTGTTGTCACCATATTGCAAGATACGTTTTCGAGTATTTCAACGCTCGTGTTTATACACGTAAGTCTGTGATGCTAACAAATATCTTATGTAGCATCCACACGTTGTGCACGTACCAAGATATTGTCAATGTCTGCTTTAGACAGACAACTTGACACAACAATTTGTACTACTCTAATCCGAGCACTTAACTAAAGAGTTCTTATGGGATCTGGTGCCTTCACATTTATACTGATCATAAGAGCCTCAAATACTTGTTCAGTAAGAAGGATTTAAGATTTGAATATGATCTAATGAATGATTACGACTGTGAAGTCTTATATCATCCAGGAAAGGCAAATGTGGTAGCAACGTTTTAAAGGCATGAGGTCATAGACTTTATGGTTAAGTGTGTTTGGACGAGAGCAGTACTAGGATGGGTGACTCCCTGGAAAGTTCTCGTGCCAGGTTGCCCAAAACAGACAATATTGAGGATCTTACATCTCTTATTGTGTAATAAAGAATATAATTTTGAGGATTAAACAACTTTTTTCGTTATGCTTTTGATTTTACAGGTAGTGATGATGCTTTCGGCTGGCTATTTTCGAATTCGAAGTGCTTTGCCTAGGCTAGTATGGATGTACCCTCTATCCTACATTACTTTCCATACATTCTCAATTCAGGTAGAGTTCATGATACTCTTTGGTTAAGTTATTGTGATTTTCCAAGATTACCCTCGATCAACTTATGTAATCACTATATATATATATTTTTTGTTTTAGGGAATCTTGGAGAATGAATATAGTGGAGTTTCATTTGCAGTGGGGGAAATGAGGACAGTTTCGGGTTATCAAGCTCTTGAAAACGTATATGATGTGTCTCCGAATGAACATTCCAAGTGGAAAAATTTATATATTCTTTCTTTTATGGCTATTTGTTATCGAGTTCTTGTGTTCCTTTTGCTACATATTCGTGTCAAGAAGAATGTTTCTTTATTCAGATTTGTATGTTGTAAAATGAAGATCAATGTCGCACAATGAATAAATATATGTTGTTTTTTATGGGTTTTGAGTTGTTCATGGACATTACTGTAAGTTGTAGAGCTTTTGTTAACTGTTTATTTGATGTGTATCTTATACTTCATTCAAGGGTTAACACTTTTTCCCCCAACTTTTTATACAACTTCTAAAAAAAAAGATTTCAACATTTTTACAACTTTTTATTTATTTATTTATTACGGTGGACTTATATTTTTCACATTTAACACAATTTATTCAGATATTGTGAGAAATACTTTTGTTTTATACTTTTCCTTTTACATTTTGACTTTTGTGTTTTCAAAATTAAACATAAGGAAAAGATGTTCGTCGTCAATTTTGGGAAAGAAAAAATGATTTATGGACTTTGCAAATAATGGTAATAAATTTTAAAAAGACATGTCTTAACAGATGCATTTTGTTTATAAAGGATGACATTTTTAATCGATATAACAGTATTTTACTTAAATACGTATGAAAAATTATAAAAGCGTGAGTAGAGATATTAAAGAAAAATTGTAAAAAAAGGTTGGATTTTAGCTGATTTTTTTTAATAGAAGCTGAAAAAGAAATTTTCAATTTTTCTTTGTTGGAAAACTCAATATTGTAAAAATTCAGATTAGTTCCCGATTAATCTCTGATTAATCCCTAGGCCCTACTCAACCAACTAGAGGACGCCTAACGATTAATCTCTGCATACATAATGAGTGAAACAATGTAAAACGATGAAATTTTAATACTTTGAAAAATTATATCTCAATAGAAAGTTAGAAACTATTTGATGTATGGTTAGTGTTTGTATTCATATTAACCTATTTTGTTATTATATTAACGGTATTTACGAACTTTGATATGATATTAGTCATATTTAATTTTTTAAAATTCAAGAAATTAGCAATTGATGGTCCTCGATTAATCTCTCGATTAATCTCTGCTAGCCGATTAATCCCGTAGTTGAACGTTTTTTACAATTTTGAGAAAACTTAGCCAAAACTATAAGATGAAAGTTGACATAGTTTACTAATACCATGTAGAAAGAATGAAAAAATATATTAAAATGTTTTTTTGGTCATTTAAGGATGTACAAAATCATACTTAAAAATATAACAAAATGCGAGATGTACCGTAAGGAATACCACTCCCTGGCACTGGCACGTGGTACCGTGAAAGATGCATGTTTAGTGAGTTCATGAACCCACTACTTGACTCTCCTTTATTCATTTATATGTATCATATATAGTAATAAATCGTACCAAATGATATGGATCGAGAGAGATTATTTTTCATCTGTTGTAAATTGGAATAGATGATAGTCAAATAAAAAAATAAAAGCAGATGTAATGTCTATGTGTCATGTAGATTTGAAGGTATATAGCTATCTATATTAGCAACTCAATCAAACCTAACTTTTTATAAAAAAAACTAATTTTTCTATCTTCCACCTATACATTCCAGCCTAATATAATTATTCATGCTCATTAACAATCCAATCCAACTTCATTTTATACTAAAATGTATATGAAAAAAATTATACCAATACTGGTTTTATTTTATAGAGAAAAATAAATTATATATTTCAGGATATTTTATTTATTTTTTACCAAAGATTAAATTTAGTAATTAACTAAAGTAGTAGTAGTATTAAATATAAAAATGAATTTAAATGTACTTACCTAAGAAGACGCATGGCAATATGAAAAAATAAATAAAAAGAATTAAACCTTTTGGTGAACCGGCTCGTTGCAGCAAATTAGATAACCAAGTTTATTTCATTTTTTTTTTCAACCAACCTCAAAATCACCGATGGCACTTAGAGACAACTCTCATAATTGCCTTTTTTAATACAATCTTATCCCTTCGTTACATAATAGAAATGTACAATTGTACACCATTTTATCTTAAAACCTTCAAAGCATGGGACATTGAACTTTCCACTAAAATCTTGGAAGACATAACTACGAAAATTTGATCAGAAGTTTTTTATTGAAAAGGGTCATGTCAATGTTTGTGTGTTTCTTGAGAGAAAACGACTGGACTAATAAAAGGACACTCCCACTTGATTTTCCAATAAAGTTTGATTCCCATTAAGATATTTGGAAACATGAATGGTTAAATCAGTTGTGTTTACGTATTTATTAATGTTTTTAAAATAGAATGACTACACATGGATTTTCGTAACGTTTTTGGAAACACTCACTATTTTTAATATTTGACTTATGATGTGAACACTTAACGAAGACATGCTAATAATATGCTACTTGATGCACTTTTTTTTCTTTCTTGTACTAATGGCGTCTAGGTGTTTATATCGATTTTTTTAGGTATAAATATAATCAACAATGTGTAGGATTTTTTTAATGACATTATTAATAATTAACATTTTAAAAAGTTGTTATTTTTATGATATCAGCTTATTATTATTTAATAAAAACTTATTACTATATAGTATATACTAGCGGTGAGCGCGGTGCGGTTATTGGCCAAAACCTCACCACTAACCGCAAATGCGGTTAATCCATTTTCAAAACCGCTTGGTGCGGTTATTTTTGCGGTACGGTTAGGTGGTTATTTTTTCGGTGCGGTTTTGTTTTTGTGTGTTTCGGTTATTAACCGCATGGATTTCGTGCGGTTATTTTGTGTGGTTTTTAACCGCACTTTAGAGTTCAAACAGTTTTAAGAGTTTAAATATATTACTTGTAATAATAAAAAATCATAAGGTATAAAACAATTAACTTAAATTACAAACAACTAATATCTTAAAAACTTTAAATCACTAGTAATTAACAATAAATATCTTAAAATTGTCAAATTTTATCATTTTCCAAAGTTAAACATACAAAAAAACAAACACTTTTGTATTCTAGAATTTTACCCTTCTTTCATCCATGAAACTTGTCTTATTTTTAATATTTAATATATTAATAATTAATAAAAAAATTGTATATAATATATGCGGTGCGGTTTTTTTGCGGTTTTTGAAAACTAATAACCGCACCGCACCGTAAATTTGCGTTTTTTGAAAAATAAAGAACCTCACCATCGGTTTTTATTGCGGTTGCGGTTTATGCGGTTTTGCGGTTAATTTTAGTTGCGGTGCGGTTTTTGTTTTAATTCTATTTAAAAAAAATTATATGCATTTTTCATTGGTTTAACATTTTCGAAAGTTTTCTTTAAAACTTAATTAATTAATTTATACAATATTTTATAAAGTCATTTTTTTTAATCTAATTTGTCCATTAACACATGTATATAATTATAGAAATAAAATATTACTGAAATTATCACGTATATAACTAAAAACGATTATATTATCACTATATTTTTTACTATTTCATATCGATGTATTTTGATTGTTTGAAAAATATTTTTAATGGTCAATTTTTTCAGAAATAATATTAATTTTCACTTTGTATATTCAAATAGATTTATTAATCAAAAATAAAAATTATTTAGTATTCTAATCATGACCGGTTCAAGCCGATTTATGGTCCGGATCAAAATAAAAACATGAGACCCTTACAATAAAAAAAAAAAACAACTACATGAGGTAACTGTTGTTTTTGTTTTTTTAAATCGGGGCATTTGTTATAAAGTTGTCCTTATATTCTTTTTGTATTATTATTAGTCATTCATTTTTTTTCTTTTTTCGGTATAAGACAAATATTTTTTAGACAATATGTTATTATTTTAAATTTATAAAACAATGAAAAAAAACAAGTAAAAAAACGAGAACACTTAGTTATAAACTTGTTACATTAAATCGTTTTACATCAACAAGGATACTATATTGAACCATTTTTTAAACTCCAACAACAAGGATTTCAAAAGGATACTATATTTAAACCATTTTTTAAACTCCAACAACAAGGATTTCAAAAATTATGATGTAGAAGTTTCAAGTTAACCACATAAAATCAGTTAGAAAGCACATAAATTACATTTTTTATCTGAAAACTAAAATGAAAGAAGTGAAAATTACATGAATCATAACATCAGATAATACGAATCAAAAATTAGAAATCAAAATCGATGAGTCTGGCTGAAATCAGATTAACACAAATACAATATCGATCTTTTTTGAAGGGTGCGTGAAATAAGATTATCAAAATTGATGTATTAAGAAAGATTGAAATAAAAAAGCAGAAAACAAAAAAATTAAAATCAGAAATAAGAAGGTTGCGTGAAAAAAACTAAATCGATTTATAATTATGAATCGGTTTTTTTTTTGTTACTGTTGAAAAATCATAATTGATTCATAGAGTCATTCGATCTATGTTGGAGAGATGTCCAATGCGATGATTATTCGAGAAGAATCGTTGGTCCTTTAGTCTTCTCTACTGTTTTCGATGTGGCTCCATTTTCTTTCATTTTTTTGTTCACCCGTTATACACGGTATATTTAGTTTTTTTTCCTATATTAACTGTAACATACATAAATATCACAAGAAATTTAAGCTTTTTAAAACAATCACAAATAATAGAATGTTTACAAAATCATTGTTTTCAAAGTATTGTTCCATATCAGAGTATCCCATAAATCAAAAGTACATAAAACAAAGGGTGTGTATGTTCACGCCTTCAACTTCCCGTGATCACCTGAAGTACCTGAAACCACAAATAAAAACTGTAAGCCAAAGCTTAGTGAGTTCCGCCAAAGTACCAACACATAAACAAATAACATATATAATAACAACATGTATTGGGTCCATAGCTAGAAGACTGGATTACCCCTGAGCCCACAACATAAGTCTGGCTTGCCCTCGGGGCCCACAACTTATGTCTGGCTTGCTCCCTGACCCAATCAGTCATCGGACTGAAATACCCTCAAGCCCTCAGTACGAGTCTAGCATACCACCCGGTCCTCAACTCGTATAGTATGAGTCTAGTATGACTTAATATCAAATTCGTCAAGATATTCCGACATCCTCATCCGACATGGTTTGGCCTGATCCTTACCATGCAAAATTCTTATGTTGTGTAAAAGAACTTCTTCCTTAATCAACTGTCAG